TTATTGAGATCAATAAGAACAAATCATATACATACATACATACATCTGCCCGCAATGCGAAGAAGAATATGCGTAAGTCCGTTATTCGGTTTCTGCTTTACTATCGCTTACGCAGTCGTTGTCTAGCGACGGTAACTGTAACATTTTGGCCTTTGCAATTAACATTAAATGGTCAAAACGAAAGAAGAAGAGCGAGCTAATGACTTGCAGTTGTTGTTGTTTTAGAGCATTATTTTTTTTTACAATCAAACAACTGTGTTCGAGTGCCCAATGTATACATTAATACGAATGTACATACATGCTATATTCATACACAGGCATACATACATATGTACATATGTTTCTCTTTACTTTTTCAACCGTACGTAGAGAACCGCACACATAGACACGAACTGTTGCTTGTTGTGTGTGAGTGTGTGTATGTGATGTCCCCAACTATTTGATATTTGTTGTTAATTAACATTTCTTGCTCTGTCAGTGCAAGACGAATGTACATACATACATATGTAGATACATATGTACATAGATGTGCACATACATATGTATCTATGGACATTCACACATTAGTGTCTCACATTTTGCTTTGGCTATTTCAATCGTTTGCACGCAACTACACGAACAGCTGTTTGTATGTGTGTGTATGTATACTTAGTTGTCCCCAACTGTTTGATATTTTGTATTGTTTGTTCTGCCTGCTTTTGTAAAATGCATATTTTGAAAATCCTTGAATGCAAAGTTGTAGATTTAGTTACGTAGATTACATTATCCAAATTTTAAATCGATCGGACTAAATTTATAACACAAACTTTTCATTTGAAATAGTGAATAAATATTAAAACCCCAATAATTCAAGCTCCAACACAAATTTCGAATTTAAGTATGCAGTTTTCTTTGTATTCTTTTATTGATTTCTGAAACCAAGTTTTATGTCGATCGGCTACAAAATGGGGATTTTTCAAACAAACTTTGGAGCTTGTTTTCCCCCCTTTGGAGCTCGAATTTTCCAAAATCCCTTAATGGACATTTACACTATGATAGGATACTTGAGCCCAAATTTCAGCATCCTAGCTTTTACCGTGTGGGGTGTGGGCTGTTGACGCGGTTTCTTTTTGTGCCCCAAGAAAACCCCAATAATTAAAGCTCAAAAAAAAAATTCAAAAAACCGAGTATGCAGTTTTGTTTGTATTCTTTAATTGATTTTAGAAACTAAGTTTTAAGTCGATCGGTTGAAAAATGCGGATTTTTCAAACAAACTTTGGAGCTATTTTTCCCCCCTTTGGAGCTCGAATTTTCCAAAATCCTTCTTAGTGCTCATCTACACCATGATAGGATACTTAAGCCCAAATTTCAGCATCCTAGCTTTTACCGTGTGGGCTGTGGGCTGTTGACGCGGTTTGCTTTTGTGCCCCAACATTTTTTTTACAGGAAAACTCCCATATTTTAGGCCCCAAAAAAAATATCAAAAAACCAAGTATACAGTTTTTCTTGGAATTGTTCTGAGAGTACACAAACTAAGTTTAAAGTTAATCAGATGAAAACTGTAGATTTTTCATACAAACTTTGGAGCTATTTTTCCCCCCTTTGGAGCTCGAATTTTCCAAAATCCCTTCTTAGTGCGCATCTACACCATGATAGGATACTTAAGCCCAAATTTCAGCATCCTAGCTTTTACCGTGTGGGCTGTGGGCTGTTGACGCGGTTTCCTTTTTAAAAAAAATTTAAAAAACCGAGTATGCAGTTTTGTTTGTATTCTTTAATTGATTTTAGAAACTAAGTTTTAAGTCGATCGATTGAAAAATGCGGATTTTTCAAACAAACTTTGGAGCTATTTTTCCCCCCTTTGGAGCTCGAATTTTCCAAAATCCCTTCTTAGTGCTCATATACACCATGATAGGATACTTAAGCCCAAATTTCAGCATCCTAGCTTTTACCGTGTGGGCTGTGCGTTGATCACCAATCAGTCAGTCAGTCAGGACAAACTGTTTTATATATATAGATGTACAATTATAATTAAACTTTAGAAATAATTAACTAGTTGAAAGGGAGTCCTTTCAAGGTGGGGAGCATGTTCAATCCTAACGAGGTCCTAAATAAACGTAAATTAATTGATAAGCTAGATTTGCTCTGTCTGGACCACGAATGGTGCATTACCACATTGTTATAGATAAAACCTCGATAAGAAACACAGATATGCTCTCTTATACAGATAATAATGAGTTCGGCCTCAGACGCCGAACATAACACCAACATTTTCGTAGCTGGCAGGCGCCAGCTCAATAGATAAGGATGTGTAAGTACACAAATCATTAGCTAAGGCTCGCCACCGCGCTGGATGAGCATGCTGCGGCTGGCTAACATGAGCTACCTGATAAAGTACGCACACATGGTAGAAGATAAGGAATCGATGATAGTATGTAGACGATAGCATAAGAACTAGGATAAGAATTTATATATAAATAAAGCAGTCGAGCTATCGACGTTGTCCATTCATCCACAAAACTTTGTCGCGTATTATTGTCCTCGCACCAATCCTGCTCCGCTCAATACAATATGCTTAGAATAATTATAGAAATTAAAAAAAATTAAGAGAATTAAAAAAAAAGTGATCGATTTTACCTCTCTTGGTATTCGAACTCACGTAAAGGGTGTACAATAGCACTTGTACAGGGCAATTGCGACTAGGTGAGTGTATGTATGCTTATTCGCGTCTATTTGTATCTGTGTAAGCATGTTTGCAGTTCCTAGGTCTTATAGTCTCCGAGATATAGGTGATTATACAAATGGAAAATCGGGAAAGCCCCCATAGGGGGAAATGGGGGAAATCAAAAAAATAAAACAAACTCGTATAGCGTACACACACAAAGCATCTTTGTGCAACACTTGGTGTCTCTATCTCTTATAGTCTCTGAGATCCAAGTATTCATAAGGACAGACAGACAGACGGGCTAGATCGACTCGTATTGTCATGCTGATCAAGAATATCTATACTTTGTGTCCGCCACGCCTCCTTCTGCCTGTTACATTTTTCAGCTCCCGGAAACCTAATATACTCCTGAGCATATCTTGCCAGCCGTCTTTTCTGGCTCAGTATTTGTGCATACAATTATACGTTTATTTATTATATGATATTTCTTTTCCGACATTCTCTATAGTTTCTAAAGAGTTAATTTCCCAAACAGACAATTACTTTGGTACGATTCGAGAGCTAGGACAAATACTATGTATGGTTGTACAAGTATGTACATACATATGTACATTTATTTATATAGTATGATAGGGATAAACCAAGGCAAGTAAATTCTAGAATTCAGTCACCGACTATCTTACTTCGAGTGCGGACACCTGTGGCTTATCTATCGTCAGTGTTTTTGTCTTTTCAATTCTCTTTTGTGCTTATTACACGCGCACCTGTGCCCACTGCAAACTTCAGAGATAAAAAAAACAAATTTTTTTTTTTGTTTAACCATGGCCCCTGAGCCACCCAATTTAGGGGATAACCGCTTTGCTAGGCTTAGCGATAGCCCCAAAGCGATAAAGAGACGATCATATAAAAATTTGCCTGAGGAATTTCCTGAACTTCCTCCACCTACGCAACAAAACCCGAGATTCATAATCATTGCCTCCAAAAACACCGATAAGGCCATTTCTGATTTCTCCTGCTTTGCAGTACATCGCGCTTTAAACATAATAAGCAAAGAAATAATCTCGATCTCCACCCTCCGCGATGGCAATCTGTTGATGTTGGTAAAATCCAAAGCAGTCGCCGAAAAGTTCATTAAAGTTACCCATTTGCCTGGCATTTGCCATATAGAGTGCAAGCTGCACGACACCCTTAACTTTGTTAAAGGTACCATTTACGCACCCTACCTGGTCAATACCCCCGACGAAGATATAATCGAAGAGCTTAAATCCCAGAATGTGCATTCCATTTTCAAGTTCTCCAGAATAATCGATGGCAACGCAAAACCAACTGGTGTAATTTTGATCACCTTCGACCTTTACAGTTTACCAAGCAAACTGGACATCTCCTGACATACCGTCAAGGTAAGGGAATATATCCTCAACCCGATGATGTGCAAGACATGCCAGCTATTAGGCCACACAGCAAAGCATTGCAAAAATCCACCCACATGCGTAGCATGTAATCTGGTTCCCCACCTCTCCGAGCCCTGCACCCGCACATTTTGTGCCAATTGCAGCGGCGATCATCCCGCCTCCTCTTCATCATACCCAAAATACCAACAACAGAGGGAACTTCTCAAAATAAAAACCACTAAAAAGTGCAGTTTGCGAGAAGCACGAATAATTATGAAACAACAAACAAGCACTACATACAACCAACTCCGCCGTCTACGGCTACCTAAACAAATTGCGATAAGAAAGAAACTCTCCGAGAGCCAATTATTGCAGACTCCCCGATGCAGGCAGCTCCCTTTGCCTCCCACCTCTCTTCAATAACCTCTAAGCTCAAAGCTTCAAGCTACGAAAGTTCTCAAAACTCAAATATAAAGCCCCTTGTAAAATCTCTTGCTCCTAATTTAGAAGCCCAAGAAATTTTATAAGAACAAAATCAAAACAACACAATTATATTAAACGAAAAAATTTATTATTATAAATTTAATTCCTCAACAGAAGACAATACCGATGATTCGGATACATCAATGGAAGATCTTGCCTCATAGTCAAATGTCACTCCATTGATATATCCCTATATTGCACACATAAAATATCTGCCGGTAAATTGTACAACGCCTATTAAAATATTACAATGGAACATAAATGGTATATTTAATAATTATAATGAACTTACACTTTTGATAAAAGACCACTCTCCAGATGTTCTATGTTTGCAAGAAACGCACTTACCACATAACTTTTAAAATTTTACTTGCCCCAAGCATTATATTGGCTACTTTTACAACCTCCCACAAAACACATCGGCCAAGCAAGGCCACACGAACAACTCTTTGAACTCCAATATTCTCTGCTCCCTCCTACAGCTTAACCTCGATGCAGCAAATGTTTTACCAGTAGCCTAATTACCAACATATTGAACCAAGCCATTGGACTACTTATTCTTTTAGGTGACTTTAATACGTGGAGTCCCCTATGGGAACGTGCAATAGCTGGTAAAAACTTGGTTATCCTTAACGACGGCTCTCCCACTCACATCTCAACTCACAATACCTTTACACATGTGGATATAACAACGATATCACCACAAATTGCTCATGTAGCTGGTCTATTCTGAGCGACCCCCACGGCAGTGACCCCTTCCCTATATTCATCCAACTTTCCACTCAATTTAGCCCAGATAACTCCCCACCGCTTTCAAAGTATAAAACCGATCATGCAAACTGGGAACTTTTTGAAAACAAATGCAAAAAAATGGCAGAAAACTCGGCCACTGGTTGCCTTAATCATCAAATAGCTCGATTAACAAAATGCATAAGAGCTGCCGCTAATTGCAATCAAACGTGTGCGACACAAAGCGAAAGTTCCCTGGTGGAACCATAACCTCCAGCAGTTAAGATATGAGAAACAGCGCCTTTTTCACTCATATAGATCCCAAATGACCAGTTCTGCTCTTATTAAGTATAAGAAAGCCAATGCAAAAGAGCAGTGCTTTTGGCCAAGCGAAACTGCCTTCACAACTTCACTTCTCGAATCTCCCCATTATCTACCTCAAAGAAAGTTTGGACCGACATACAACGATTAGCGGGTGTTCCACCCACGCCTTTAAAATATATGAATACTGCCTTAGGACTGGTGACGTGTTCCCACCGTATTGCAGAGGAGTTTGCCAAGTCTGATCAACGTACTCAGCGGACAGCAATTTTTCAGCCGAATATTCAAGCCAAAAAATCTTCTATCAGATACTTACCAACCAAACGCCTTGTCTGCATCCGCAAGATGCTTAGAAGCCAATTTTACATTAATAGAAATCGAAGCAGCTATCAAAAGTGCGAAAGGGAAAAGTCCAGACGCGGATAGAATATCATAAAGTATATCCCAATGTCTCTAAAAACAAAACTTCAGGAGATATTCAACACGATGCTCAATTCTGGTACCTACCCACACATATGGAGATCAGCCGTGGTAATCCCCATAGCAAAACCAAACAAACCACCCCACGAAATCAAAACCTTCCGCCCGATATCCCTGCTATCCTACCTAGGTACAACAATTGAAAAAAATTATAGCTCGAAGACTGATGTGGTTCATTACCCGTCAATCGCTTTTTCAGAGTTCGAGTCAACAACATCACTTCAAACACCTCAATCTCTTTAACGGAATTCCTCAAGGCTCCCCACTCTCCGTCGTTCTTTTCATAATAGCTTTTGAAGAACTAAACAGCATTTTGACAAGACATTAAAATATTCATGTATCAATATACGCCGATGACGCTATTATTTTCACCAAAATAAAAAATGTATCCCATGTAAAGAACAAATTTACCGACATCTTGCAGGACGTAGAATCGTAGGGAGCCTTATCGGGTGCCTCTCTGGCTATAGAAAAATGTAAACTACTACACATCTGCCGCAAACACCGATGTAACCTATATGACATAGATTTTAAGAACAAATGTATTAAAAGTATAGACCAATTAAAAATCCTACGCGAAAGCGTTTCAACATTATAAAATCCCTATCTTCAAAATACACGAGCATTGACCATAATTTACATATTACCTCCAATATGGGAGACCCAGAACATCGCATTCTCAACTCGCTGCTGGAGCGTCTGGACCGTATGACTGGCGAGGTGAAGAAGCTACAAGACACGGTAGATTCGCTTCACGATAGGGTGAAGAACTTGGAGCGAGATGTTGATGAGCTGACTTCATTGAGGGAGCGGGTTGGTGGGCTGGAGGCGAAACTCGCTTTGCAGCTGAACGCAAATGTTGCGTGCGACGTAAGAGTGCACGGTGTCCCTCATGTTGAGGAGGAAAATGTAGTTGCCCTCTACAATGCCTTGTGTTTCGCTATCCACGTAACACCACCGCCGAGAGCACGGGAAATTTTCCGAGTAAAAAGATCACAGGTGCCTCAGGTGGATCCCGACATAATCATAAAATTCGAAAATATTTACGAGAAATCCACGTTGCTGAGGGCAGTAGCAGCTTACCGTCGCGACGAAAAAAACCACTAAGCTTGCAAATGCTTGGGTTTGACTCTCCAGTTTCCATTTATGTCAATGAACAGTTAGGTAGGTAGGTAGGTAAGTGCGGCAGCCAGAGCTTATGAAGACCCTGACTCACTTAGGCCGTGATTATTTGGCCCGTTGTGGTACCGCGTGAACAAAGTCCGCTTCCCATATCCCGTGGTTGGCTATATTCCTGCGCAAATTGTTACACCCATCCGGATGCCCGGATGAATTTGTAAATGTCTATTGGCTTTCTTTTTGCTAACGCCGACAGATTTGGGACAGACAGATTGAAAACTACGTCGGCATAGTACATGCAAAGCGAACGAAGAATTAGAGCGTAGAGCTTATTCAAAGAAGAGACGAGCTTTTGAAGCTCGCATACGATAAAGAGCATGGGGTTCTCGCGCCACCGTCTTCTACTAGTAGCAGTAACTCTGCTTTGGAACCCATCGCTAGCTTGTGTTAAGCATCTTTGTATTAGGTTTAAGTATGAGCTAAATTGATCAACTAATCTAAGCGTAAGTGTTAATGTATGTAAAGTGTGCAGTGCGTCTGCTCTAAGCAAAGTGCGTATGCAAACGATTATTTTTAGATTCAATGTTAAATAACACAAGATCCACCTCCACAGCGAACTGCCAAACTATGTTAAAGGTTCTAAGTAAGCAAAAGAATGGTATACATATATATCACCTTAGTTTAGTAAAAAAAAATGGATGTAGTTTGTGTCCGAAATGGTGTTTGTGTCTTGTCTTAATGATAATAATGTATGTTGCGATGGGTATAGAGCTTATCGTTCAGATCGTGAGGGGCATGCGGGGGGTGTAGCCATATATGTTAGAAATAATATCAAAGCTTATATGATTCGCAAACAGCCAGTAGACAGTAATATTGAGTATTTGTTTTTACAATTATCAAAAAGTAGAAATATGGAAAGCATACTAGTTGGATGTGTTTATAGACCAAACAGAAACACTGACTACACTGATTTTTTGAGCATTATCTCGGAGTCCCTGAAACATAACAATATTTTCCTGGCTGGTGATTTCAATAGCAATATGCTAGTTGAACGACATTTAAGGGACGATATGGTGTCTCTTGGCATAAAGCTAGTGAACTCTACAGTACCTACACATTTCTCTAACACATCTGATACCCTTCTTGACGTATTTTTTGTAAATGACACCGAGAAAATGCTCCTATTTGACCAAATCTCTGTACCAGCTTTTTTTTTGGGAAAAGTAGACCTTCTTTAAATCTTAACGTAGATGTAAACGAATTAAACAATAAATTTGTACAACTAGCAGTACCAGAAGTCCTTGAAAATGCGTACATGAATTCCACGACGTTATTAAACTGTGATACTAGCTTTAGTTTTATGTGTGTACGTCAATGTGATGTCTTAGATGCAGTCCTCAAAGTTAAGTCCAACGCCATAGGCCTAGATGAGTTACACCCCAAATTTTTAAATTATTGCTCCCTAAAGTTCTAAAGTATATAACTCACATATTTAACTCAGTGCTTACGACATCTTGCTTTCCGTACAAGTAGAAATCAGGAAAAATTGTTCTTATTCCGAAAGGAAGCAATGACTTTAGGCCAATCACAATTCTACCATTTCTATCAAAAGCACTCGAACACCTGATGACAAAACAAATTAGCAACTACATGGTAGAAAACTCACTCTTTTTTATTTATAAAGCGTGGAGTCCCTCAGTGGTCTATCTTAGGACCACTATTGTTCTCAATTTATGTCAATGATCTTCCATGTTGTGTGTCTAATGTTAGTCGTCCGTTATGTAGAATATATGAATGTATTCGTGTCTGCAATGATGATCTCTACAAAATCAGTAAATGGGCTAGTATTAACGGATTGGAGGTTAACCCTAAAAAATCAAAATGCTTAGTAATATATAAAAAAAAAATTAACACACTCAATCTTGAGCAAGTACGACTTAACAATGAGCCCATTGAGTACGTACCTAGGCCTAACTATAAATCAATCGTTATCTTGGTGCGACCATGTAAATAAGGCAGTTGGAAAACTTTATAGCGCACTAAGGAGTCTGTCTTTAACGCAGAACTTTCTACCTGTACAACTAAAGCTCCTTATTGCCAAGACATGCCTGATACCCTTGCTATTTTATGGGATTGAAATTTTCGGAAACTGCGATGCTGTAAGCCGAAACCTTGACTCATGGATTAAACTTAGAACCCTAATCTACTTGCATAAAGTTATCACACGTAAGGAACCGAACTATTTACACGACAAAATTGCTTTCACCACATCAAGAAGAACAAATAACATAGTTTGCACGAGATTTAAATTAGCAAGCTCGGAAAAGCATTTCTTTAATTCCGCTGTTCATCTGCGGAATGGGTTACCGCATAACCTGAAAACAATCAGCAGCGAAACGCACTTTAGAGTTAAGATTCAAGCACACTTGCAAAACATTAACTAAATTAACGTTACTAAAAATTATTATATTAAACACACACTTAGTTGAGTAGGCAAAATAGATTAAGTATAAAACTAATTAAAAAATCCTAATATATAGTATATTTAATATAATTATAAAGAATAATAATAATGTTTAATGTTAAAACTAAAATTAATAATATGAAAATAACCTAATAATAAGATTGATAAAATTAAAATTGTAATTATTAGCGTAATAATGTAAAAGTAACCTGATACTTCTAACGCTAGGATAAGGTTAACAAATAATTGAATAAATAACACTCTTATAAACATTACCCGTTCCCTAATGCTCTCTAAAATAGATTATGGCCTATGGATTATACCTCTTCCGTGGCTTTCACTCTGGGAGAATCAGGACTGCACAGCATTCCGTACCGCATCGAAGAATTAACCATGCAGCTTATTCCA